TGTCGTTAATCGTTGGAAAGTCAGAAAAATAATATAGTACTTTACACTGTGTGTGTATATACGAGGGCAAGGTGAAAAGTTCTCGGCCTAACCCATAGATGGCGCTACTACAAATGAAAGTATCATCTGGTTATGTTTTCAAACTTGTTACAAAAGTAAATACCAAGTGTGAATTTGATCAGACAAATAGTTTTTTTTATACGGCTGTTTAAAGTAAGCATTGTGTGTGTTTTTGACAAAATGAATAAACTTGAATATCGTTCCGTCATAAAATTCTTCGTTTTGGATGGTTTATCGCCAACAGAAATTTATCCAAAGTTGGTAAAAGTGTATAAGGAGTCTGCACCTTCGTTATCAACAGTAAAAAAGGCAGCGAAGTTTAAACGTGGTCGTACATCGATTGAAGATGATCCACGTGAAGGATGGTCAAAAACTGCAACTACCAAAGAAAATATCGAGAAGATACACAATATGGTTCTAGATGATCGACGATTAAAGGTGTATGAGATAGCTAAAGCTGTAGGCATCTCAGAAGAAAGGGTACGGCACATTTTACACGAAGAACTCAGTATGAGAAAGCTTTGTGCAAGATGGGTGCCGCATTTGTTAAATGCTGATCATAAACAAATGAGGAATCGACTTTCTCATCAATGTTTGCGCTGTTTTAAGAAGGATCCAACTGATTTTCTGCGCAGATTTGTTACGATGGATGAAACACGGGTTCACCACTTTACCCGAGTCAAAACAACAGTCCAAGCAGTGGGTAGAAGCTGGTGGCTCTGCACCAAAGAAAGCAAAGACAATTGCATCGGCTGGAAAGGTTATGGCTAGTGTTTTTTGGGATTCCAAAGGGATTCTTTTAATTGACTACCTGTCAAAGGGTCAAACAATTAATGGGGAATACTACGCACATCTTGACCAGCTAGATGAAAAAATTAGAGAGAAAAGGCCTGGTTTGCAAAAGAAAAAACTCCTCTTTCACCAGGACAATGCACCAGCTCACAAAGGTGCTTTGGCAATGGGAAAATTGAGGGATTTGAAGTATGAATTATTGGAACATCCTCCCTATTTGCCAGATTTGGCTCCCTCTGACTTTCATTTATTCCCAAATCTTAAAAAATTTTTGATGGGAGAACATTTTGGATCAAGTGTAGAGGTGATAGCAGCAGTAAATAGATATTTTGAAGACCTTCCAGAATCGCACTTCAGAGATAGAATACTGTTATTGGAGAAACGTTGGACAAAGTGTATTGAACTAAAGGGAGACTACATTGAGAAATAAATGCACTTTTAAAATAAAAAACTCATTTTTTCACTACTAGGCCGAGAACTTTTCACCTTGACCTCGTATAAGTAATAGTGATCAGTGATGAATGAGATTGATTTTTGCATGAAGACTGATGATATAGCTGTGCAGTTTATGGATATAAATAATGTCGAAGCATACATGTTAAGTGTGTTGCATTAGAAAACTTAAAAGTGCAAGCAACATGTGATAGAGATTCATCTTTTGAACCAGGAAAAATTCATCAATGGGAATTCCAGAACCACTATGATTGTTTCTTGTTTTAAATCACATAAAAAGCATAAAATCTTGGAGTTTGTAAACTTTTAGAGACTGCAAACTCCAAGTTTATTTATGTTAACTTCTTACGATTAAGTTTATGCTTACATAATTCATTGTGAATGGTTGCATCAAATAACACAGGTACAAGGTTTTATGTTTATGCTTAATTTTCATTGTGAATAGGCTTTTATTCCTGTACCATTAACCTTAAAGCTATACTTACACCATTGTTTTAATTGTGTAAACCTAATTATTAATGTTAATTTATAATTATTAACATTAATAATTATAAATTAATTAATTAATTAAATAATTTAGAACCGCTGGGAGAAAAGCAAGTATCACATAGAAAAAGATTATACAGAGGAATTACAAGTGATAAGATCTCATATTTGCAGCATCTATTAACTATTCTCCAACTTTCCTTTTTTGAAATTACTTGATAGTGTTTTCTGTCAGTTGAATTCAGAGAATGATGAATATGTCAAATCTCTAAGCACAAAGAAGTATAGAAAAAATCTAGATGACTTATCTAACCTATTCCCACCATTGTACAACTGCTATTGCTAGGTGAAGGAGCAATTTTACTATTACAAACAAGGACAACATTTTCTTATCACTTAGTGATGCTATTTCAACAATCAAAATACAACAAAAAATCATTTTTTCTGTGAAATAAGATGTTTACTGTGCAATGTTATTTCTCTACAGACTCTCCACTGTTTTACATAGGTCACCTGTTTTGAAAGATATTTTTCAGTATTACTATATTATTTTTCATATAAGTTTCTTAATATGATTTTTGTCTTTTGATTTTAATATAACATCTATAAGATACATAATATTTCTTTTCCAAATGATGCTGTTAGGACAATGCACTGTCCGATGTAATTCTGTAAATATTTTTCAAACACGAAACATCAATCAATCACAGCATTGTATAGCACAATTTTCCATTCCATAAGACATTTTCTATTGTTCTAGAATAAAACAAACATGATGGGTATGCCATCACAGCAAATAGTGTTTGGTATTTATTTGTTAATTTGAGCTATAGATCAACCACAAAAAGGAAGATTGTGAAATTCAGATTGACAGGTAAATTTTTTGACAGATTTCATTTTTTTTAATTTTTTTACTATAACCACCATTTCAGACAAATTAAATTGCTACATGTGAAATAAGAAATCATTTTAGTACTGTATTGAAATTTCATGCAGAATTTACTTTTTTTATAATAATGCAATAATAAACATATTCCAGTACTGTTTATTTGCTATAATATTGCATATGGTCTATATAATAAAAGAAGAAAAATATTAAATATAAAATACACAATTACATAAAACTGCATTAACATATTTTTGTTATACTCTCTGATAATTAAATTATTTTGTTTGTTAAACTGTAAACAAATCATAAACTTCAGGATCATAGAATACTGGTTATTTTATGATCATCTTTCAACTAGTGTCCAAAGAGTATAAAATAATGATATTTGATATAAACATCATACTTTTCTGTTAACAATGGAATCATCTTGGTCATCAATCTAAGTCCTTTCAAGAGAAAATTTTTGAATTGAAATAACTTAACTTCTGTTTTACATTGGAAATTCTTATACAGTTAACTGGGGCCTCCTGTCCCTAAGCTTTCCATATATAGTCTTGGCTTTCATCTATGTAACTCCATTCTTGAGATTAAAGAAAGACAGACTGACAGACACTGGGAATTTATAGATCTACAATTTTTTCAAATTGCAGCCCAAAGAACAAAATTCATAAATATTGAAAAAAATGCTACACAGTTTAAGGATTCAAAATGCATTTATTTCAATTAAACATTTTGTAAGAAATATCTTGAAAAACATTTAAACTGTGTTTTCATTCCTAGAACCATATAGCATTACTTTTGTTTCAGGATTTTTAATGAAAGATGGAATCAATTGTCAGAAGAAAAACAAAACTTGTAAACAAATAATGCACACTAAATGTAACATATATTAAATAGAAATAGAAATAATGAATTAAAAGTTATTGTTCTTTTGATCACTAACAAATAAAATGTGAGCAATTAAATAATAGACACTAAATAACAAGATTTAATTTAAAAAGTAAATAAAATAAAAGACTGAATAAAAAATAGGAAAAAACAAACTTTTCAAATATATAGGTCTTGATTTCTTTCTTTTCTTTTAATAAAACTACCGTGTTTCCCCGAAAATAAGACATCCACAGAAAATAAGACCTAGCACAGATTTTGCTGAATTGCGAAATATAAGACCTCCCCCTGAAAGTAAGACCTAGCGAAGTTTTTTTTAGTCGTAACGGTCATCGACAGATGGTTGAAAGTGGCCGTTGGCTTTTTGAAAGTACAGCCACTGATTGGTCAGCAGACAATTACGCCACACGGCATGATTTGCATAAGACTATGGCTTGGGAATCACAGATTTGCAAAACGTTACGGATGGTGATGGCTAATTGGTCGGCTGGGAATCACACCACATGACATTTGCATAGTGCTACGGTTCAGTAAGCACTAATTGGTCATCGAGTCCGATGTTGACGCTATAAAAAGGCGACAGTTCGACACACCAGATATACGTCACTCTCGTCTAAGTTTGACTTGGGAATTTTTTAGTTCAATAATAAATGTGTATTCTTCTTCCTGGAAAAAATAAGACATTCCCTGAAAATAAGACCTAGCGCATTTTTCAGAGCAAAAATTAATATAAGACACTGTCTTATTTTCGGGGAAACACGGTAATATTTTGTATCTATGACATATCTAACTCATCATATTAATTAATTTTTTTAGCTTATAATTTGTATTGTAAATATTAAAATCATTAAAAAATACTATATCATAAATTAATACTAAAAATTATAGTTTTATAATTTTTAGTATTAATTCCTTTATAATATAATATTCTGTACAGATTTTGAATTTATTAAATAAAATAGTAAAACAAATTATTGGCAATATATTAAAAGTCTTAATGAGTTGCATGAAACTTAAAGAAAAATATATTTATCTCTTGAATGTATTTTGATATAATATTAATATGTAAATATTATGTACAACATTAGGATCTATTTTTTATATCAATTTGAATTTTAGCTCAGAACTCTTAAGGAGTTGCAGGAATAGACTATGAAATGTATTTAAATTAATATCTTTAAAGTTTTTTTATATTATAAAACGATTCAAAAATAATAATTATTATTAAGAAAAATAAAATTCTTAAGTCTATATATGTGTTGTTTTATTTCAACTTACATTTAGATTTATGCAAAATTATAATCTATCCATACAAAATTAAAATGCATTTTATATCTGAAAAATTTAATTCAATAATTTTTAAATAAAAGTATTGTAAGAATTATTTTTATTTTGAATTTATACATTAATACATGAAAAAAAATTCAATTACCTATTGTTAGATCATGTACTGGTTGAAATCTTTTATCAGTAAATTGTAATAATAAACAGGATTTTCCAACACCTGAAATAAAATAATAAATTTAATACATTACGTTCATTATATTTTATTTATTTTACTTTATTGACAAAATTTGTTTTAAGGCACATGTTTAAGTATTTATAATTATAACTTTCAATACATGATATTACAATAACTAAAGTTTATTATTTGTTACATAAAAGTATATGTTTTCAGAAAGTTATAAACTACAGTAAATATTTAAATTTAGATCTATTTTAAATGGAGATATTTGTCAGCAAGTGTTGAGAATTGCAATTTAAATATTACTATTTTTTGAATTAAATTAACAAATTGCTCTGACACTTCAGTTTATATTTATACATAATTATATATATATATATATACAGTATATACACATATGTATACCATGGATACAGCAGAATGCCAATTATCTGAACTGATTTGTGACATTGTTTGGATAATCAAAAATTTGAATGATTAAGGAAAAAATGGAAAAGCATTCTTAATCAAAAAAATACTATTATAAATGCATTTTTATAATAATATTTTTGACAATTTTTTCTGGTCATTCACACCATTGTCAGACAACATGTGTTCGTAAATTTTTACAATCTATAAAAAATAAGTTTGAAAATAAAACAGAATATGATACTAAACACCAGCATGTAACAATTATGGTCAGGAATTAGACTAGAATGAACACAAATAACAGCATGGGCTGATTCTGTGAATGGAAACCCAATCTTTTAAGACTGAGTTAGCATTCCATGAATGAGTAATTAGTAATTCTAATAATTTGTGTTCTAATATATGTATTATAATAGATAACTTGAAACATAACACTCATCTATTTTATAGATTTTGTTTTAATTTCATATTGGCAATCTGTACCTACTTTCTATATATCATTTTTCTACTTTATAAACAAACAAATACAGTAATACCCCAAACTTACGCGATAGGTGGGACCGAGCGGTAACCGCATAAGTCGAATTTGCATAAGTCGGGATATATTGATAATTTCGCATATAAATACATACAAATAATTTTTAATTGGGGCCAGAGACTAAAGAAAACAATAATTTAGAAAAAATGTCTAATAAAATCTTAGATAATACATATGTATAACAAATTAGGCCTATATTATTTTACAATTTTTCACATTTACTTGATTATTACGCCATAATTTTAACATTGTTTCCATTTCAGCGATAATACTGTGACGTTTACGAATAATGCTTGAATTTAAAGATGGAGCATTTTTCACAGCTTCGAGAATTTTTTCTTTGCCTTTTATAATTGTTCTGACCGACAATTCCGGTAGATCAAACTTCTTTGCCAATTCACAAATTTTCATTTTTGTATCAAAGTCTTTAATAATGGGTACGTTCGTAAAGTCAAACGAGTTAAACACGTTAGTAACGAATCGTTCGAAAAGTCTAATGAAATAGGAATAACAATGCTTTCATTCTTGTTTAATTCATTCGACTTTACAAACGTACCCAATGTTAACTTTACATTCCAAAGATAAAGTTTTTCTTTTCTTGTTTGATGCAGAAGAATTAGTTCTACTTCGTTTGGATGACATAGTAGAGTCTCTCAAGTCTCCATAGATATAACAAACACAGAAATAAATAACACAAAATAAATTGTAGCTATGTGTAAATTCCGTACGACACATCCGAACATGTAAGCTGAACAATAGTGTGGGGGGAGTGAGTAATCAAGGGTTGTGTGGCGCTCAAACAAAAGACGAATCGACGAGATTTGAAAATTGCGTAAGTCGGGGTATTACTGTACTTTAAGTGGTTGGTTGACAATATAGCATAGCATTTTACTATAGATTTCACTTTTTAATTAATTTGTTCTCATAAATGCCTTCTATAAAACATTCATTATGTATCTACTTTTGATTATTATTATAATATATTCTGCAATTTTTTATAATCATTAATCAATCAATCGATCAATCAATGTATCATAATCAGTTATTCAGTTAATCAGCTATCAAATGACATTAATATTCATAATCATTAAACTATTAATGACAATTAAGATACTGTTCTAATATAATGTTGCTATTCTGTCAGTTATATGTTTCATTTGGTAAAAATAAATAAGTTTTTGCAAGTTCAAAGATGCATTTTGACTTTTTCCATATAAATTAAAGAAAATAGGATTTTCTTCTATAGATTTTTGTTTCATGGAAAATTTTTATCAAATGAATAGGCCTACATCTAAAACTTAACTAATTAAATTTGATATTCTAAAAAATAAAATTTGCCAAAACTTTCTGAAAAATTAAGAATAGAAGCTTGCATAAACAAATTTGTTAAACTCACTTTTATTATGTTGCATTATTTACATTAGAAATAATCAAGTATCTTGTCTGATAGATTCATATTATCTATCAATTTTGTTTTTTTGATAAATAATATCAAACTGTCATAATGAAAATTTATCTTCAAATTAATGCTTCATTCAAGAAAATGTTTTTCAGATATTTGAAAAGATAATAAAGTATTAATTCAAATCAGCAATTTTTCATTTTCCTTCTGAAACATATTTCTCAATTTTATATTTCTAACAAATTTGAGAAATATAAATTTTATAAATTAAATTAATGATTTTAATTTATCTATATATATAGTGTTTGTATGCGGTAGTAGCCCCAAGTCTCCATTCATGCACCAGGGTGGTTGCGTCTCGATAGCTATAAGGGTGCGGGAGATATAGGCTTGAAAGTGGTTGAAAGTGGCAGATTTTCTATTTCGATTTTAAAAATTTTCGAATTCGAATTTGTATTCGAATTGGTTCGATTATAGAACGATTGTAAACGTTCCAGAAAATTGATCAAATTGAAAATAGTTTGTTTGACTGGACGTAAAAATCCTCTAATTAGT